GTTAAAAAATAATTAATGTGTTTATTATTTAATAATAAAAAATTATTATTTAATGGTCATATATGATGTTAATACCTAATAATAAGACACTTTAACTATTTTTATATGAAATGATCAACTTGAAATTAAATTTAAAAACTTTAGAAATCAAATTAGATTTTTTTTAATTTAAGAATTAATTTGAATATCTATACAATAATTGAATGAATAAATTAAAAGTTTAACTTATAATTTAATAAAATTTAAATCCCGAAACACTACAAAAAGACAAAGAAGAAAAAACAAAAAAGAAAGAGGAGGATAATATTTCCCAACATTCTTTTGTTCGTACCTCTTCTCTCTGTTTTTTTTTTCTGGCTGAAAACAAATCTTATCTCTTTTCTTTATTCAATCTCCTAAATTTCTCTCAACTCAAATATAAAAGTAATTATTAATTATAGTTTTTTTTTTATCAAGTTACCAAGGGACTGAGAAACCCAACTCAGGAAAAAGAGGAGGGGATGACCTCAAACTCAAGGCCTATAAGTACTCTTATGCGGGGAGTTACCAATTGCTCTATCCAGAAGTTCTCAATTACTAATTACTAATTACTAATTATAGTTGAAGCTTTTAAATTTTGTTGTCAAGATATAATATTTTGATATGTGCGAAGGGTTCCTACTTTTCGTCATGATTTGAGACTTTGAGTCGGTTTATTATAAAAATAATAATAATAATTCATTACCAAAATCCCCTCAAGTTTTTTTATTTTTGAACAAGGGAGAGAATTTTAAGGGAAGAAAAGAATATTATAAATATTTTAATAAAAATTTTAATTTTAATATAAATCAAAATATTTAATACACATTGCAGCCCATCAAGAACGGCAAGTGTAAAGTACAAAAAAAAAAAGAATTATTTTTAAAGATAAAAAACAACTAAACCTGAAATTTTGTCATATATATATATATATATATATATATATATAACCCACCGGATTTGATCCATACAAACAGAGTTTCGGTATTCATCACTTTCTTGCCGGCCACTATAGATCGCCAAATACAAAGAATTTTAATCACATACATTAAATCTATTAATAAATAAATGTTATTTTATAAATTAAGTTTATGATTTAATTCTTGAGATTTAAACCCCAAAAGATTAATTTCCTAAATGCACCAAACCAATGTGGGATGTTTCCTTAAAATTATTTGAGAAAGATTAATTTTGAAGTCCACAAAAATTGATTTAGAGACACTTTGATTATAACAAAAAAAATTATGTTTGGTCATTTTTTCCCTCTAACTTTATACTAATTTGATTAATTTCCAAAAAAAAAAAAAACTAACTTTGTAAATCTTAGGGATACATCGCATCAGGAAAAAAAAAAAAAAATCTTATAAGGTTATAGTGCGGTGGGTGGCTCACACTCAATCTGCATGCCCATGCCCTAGTGTTCCTTACTGTTTTAGACAAATATCTTTGTTTATTTCAGTCAGCAGAAAATTACCAACTCAATTGAAGATCATGTTATATTATAACCATCTCATCTAATCATTCTAGTTGAATTCTCATAAAAATTCTTTTGGGTTTTGCAATTATGTTGGTAATTTGGGTCAAATCGGGCTAACCATACCAATTACTTAATTAGTAATTCATCTTGAGTCAAAAAAATAGATAAGTGAATTTCCTCCTTACCCCTTGCACTACTTCTCTGTGAAACTGTAAGCATTGACACAATTAAAGCTTATACAACATTTTTGCTTCTAGGGCCCATTTAAAAACCTTCGATGGTTTTGTTTGAAGGGCCCATTGGGTGACAAATTAAAATCCGAGATAACTAATTTTAAGAAATGAACATAGAAGAAATTGAAAAAAAAAAAAAAATAGAGAAAAGATTTATAGCTTCAATTGCAAATTTGGATTATGAAGTTTCTTAGCACCATCCGTCCCCTTTACTCTCAAATCGAACAAGTTGTTAATATACCAAATAGAGTAGGATAGGATTAATGTTTAGTTCCCCTTATTATTTGTACTTTTATGTAATTAATTTGATTTATTCTAAAGTGATATGGGTTAGTTAATATATTAAAATACTGATATAAATGAAGTGAGAGGTGGAATAAGGGAAGACTGTAGAGAGGAAAGGTAATGGGGACATATATGTTTGGGGATTGATAAGGACTTAAGTATGATTATGTTTTGGGGAGATAATAACGAAAGATGACCCCTCTTTAATTTGCTACTCAACTACCCAACCCATTTCAACAAGTGTTGATGCCCACCATATATAAACATCTAGTCTCTTTTTATCCATGAAATTTATTTATATATAACATTTGTTGACAATATAAAATGATGCATAAATTAATATATATTCATTTATTTAATATTATATAATTGTTTATTAACAAATATTATTATTAACAAATGTTGTTAATAAATTATTATTGTATCAACCATTTTTTTTTTTTTTTTTTTCTTGTCATCCACTGAATTAAGGCATCTTAAGTACATCAAAAGAAATCAATCCTTTCCCCTTTTCAGCCATTGAGTTAAAGCATCAAAGGTACATGAAAAGCATCTTACCAAATCAAACTTTTCCCCTTAGTGTTCAAATTGTAATGAAAATGATAGTGACACTTAGAATTAAGTCTTGAAAACACCAAGGTCCGTAATCAAAATCACCAATAATGCTGATCAAAATGGAAACCTTACATGAAAATGGAAAGTTGATCTTGATTGATTTTTTCATTTTCGAACGCCATGGTTTTGATTGATGCAACATGACATAAGGGTACCTTTGTCCTTGAAATTATTAGTCCTTTTTATTGTGTGGCAACACACACACTTGTCAAAAACATTGAAATTTAGACCACAAATTATATGCCCCAAATGAGCTGATTTCTTTTATAGATCACAATAATTCACTAGATAAGTCTCTTTTTTTTTTATTATCAAATTCGAATTGCTTTAGAATTATTCAACAATTATAATGAATCAAGTTAGAGATTTCATATAAATAAGAATATAATCTTTTAAAAAAAATTAATTAAAAATATGACTTCTTTTCTTTGCTAATTAAAAGTATTACATTTCAAAAAATTTTAATAAAAAATATAGTCTTTATGAGTTTACTAATTAAGATTATGTACCTTTAAAAGTTTCTTTTATTAATGTGTGTCTTCTATAATTGCTGTACTGAAATACAGCATACAAATCCAGAATAAAAGCTTGTAAGAGGGAATCTTAGCTAGCTGCTAATGACACACAATCAGTCAGGTACCTTTTTACCATTTTGGTAAAAGTTTTGGCATCATTTAGATTGTGGTGGATGGCGTCTGGCTCACCACATAAACTTGACTGGTTTATCAAAAGTAGTTTTCAACTTGTCTCATTTCTACACATAGCCGGCACTGGTCCCATTGGGATTTGGTTATAAAGAACATGCCAAATCTATGAGAAATCTCCCACCCCAAATATGAATAAAAAAGAAATAATGATTCAAGGATAATCTTTTTTATATAATATGATACACTATCAAATAAATAAATTATTATAAAAAAATTATTTTTTATAAAGTTTTTTGACATGATAATTTACATTAAAATTATACTAAAATAATATTTGTCACGCTTTCTATTTTGATAACTTACATTGAAAAAAATAGCATAATTTAAGAGATTTTTTTAGTGAATGTATATTAATTTTTACATCTTATAAAATAATAATAATAATTCATTGTTCATGAATTGTCAAATTGTTGCAGCAGAATCATTTTGACCAATTTGTAAAAGAAAAAATGGGCAAGTTGGTTAAAAGGATGAACTCTTTCTAAACAATTAATGCATTATCCCATCACCTTGAATCATGTTCAACATGAAAGTTCTTCAAACGTCTAGTAAGGACATTAATTAATTACTGAAGTCTGAACACCTCTAGTTTTCATCACAGACTATCTTGAAATTATCCTAATGCATTCAAAAATGTTGACTTAGGAATTGATGGATTGGGTAGTCGCTTCTGAAATGACCCTAATGCATTCTCAAAACTATCCTGTAGTTTCATCCATTCACCTCCAATTTCTGCTGAAAATGCCTTTTGCAGGAATTAATAACTTGAAAAAGGAAAGTAAGGTCACTTAGTCAAGGCTTTTGAATTGTGTTTATGGGCATCAATTTTTGTGTCAAAATCACCACTTCTGACTTTGGAAATGGAAGGATTGTGTTTAGGCCTACACAAAAGATTTAGACTTGAAGAACATTATCACCAATAAGGTCTAATCTGTCTGCAGCAAGATTTTACTTCGGTTTGGTTTTCTGTGATGATTTCACGAGTTGTTTTAATGCTTTTGCATGTGTCTAAGCTGTCTCAATTGCAAGATACATACCCCCTAACATACACATGCTGTACTTAAATGCTGAATTGAGGGAGACTGACCAGGGCATGCGTGAGCCACATGATTCTTCTGTCTTTGCAGATTTATGCGGCTGGCAACACCACCGCTTCTCTCTTTTTCTTTATATACATACATATATTGAATGATTCAGAAAAGAAAAAGGGAAAATCGAACTATAGAACTAATAACTTCAGCACCCCTTGCCACTATAGCATTTTTTTGGGACTTAATATTATCTAGACTTGACCATTTGGGTCAAAAACAGGCTTCAATAATCCAACTTATGATCTGAATTCACTTTAGCCCAATATTATCAACAAAAATGTATTTTATAATTTTAGAAGTAAAATACTAACCCTATTATCAAATACGAACCGCAAAAGTTTTGCATCTTAGATAATAATCTAAGAAATTTATTGTCATCTGGTACTATACTGAACTGTGTTTGGGGTAGAAAATTGGGCTTTGCCTACCCGTGCCGTGTCGGCAGATATTAAAAGTATAATTATTTTATATTTTTATATAATTAGTTAATATTAAAAAATATAAAAAATATATTAATTTTATTATTATTACTATTTAAATTATTTTAATTAAGTAATTTTTTCAATAAAAGTTCATTTTAATTTTTTAATAAAT